AACCGGCTCTACTGAAAACCTCTTTCAGCCAGCTTTCAAGGATGAAATTAATTCCTGATTGAGCTTTAATTAATTAAGCCTATTTTAAAAACCTTTAATAACCTCCCCAGGACTGAGCATATGCATTACTTCCCCTGATGCATTAAGTCTCTTTTTACCCCCACTGGGCATTACATTCAAGTACAAGAACACAATCACAGCTTACCTCCGAGACCCCTCCGCACGGGAAGGGCCCATTAATGGCAAAAGACACATTACGGTCTCCAAAACGATAACAACTGAGAGCGTGGCTCTTAAGCATCTATCTGTCAAGAGCACCATTTACCTGTCACACATACACGCCCAGCGGCAGCCAATAGAGCCGCCTGTTAATCAGTTCTATTTACCTCGTCGTTCTGCTCTTGTACATTTAGGAGAAGGAGGAAAACTCGGCAGGTGTCTGATTCCGTGTTATGATCTCTTTGTTTGTTTGCTCTGACTCCCAGCGTCACGAGAGGAGCGATTACACGACACTCTGCTGCAGATCGTGTGCAGTCATGTCTGAACTGCTGCTCAACGGCTCAGTTCAGCTGGAAACAAGCATCACACCGGAGCACCAATTACGCCAATTAACTCCAATTAGACTGGATCAAAACAAGCAAACTATCAGGTGATCGAGACAGGACTAATCACAGTATAAGAGGAAACAGTTATAGTTTCCCTTTGCAAAACAAAGCGAAAAATAGACACTGAGTACTGAAGAACTCGCTTGAAAAGGCAACACAGCCAAGAACAACACCTCCAATGTTGGGGAAAGTTACTTTTAAAAGTAATGCATTACAATATTGCGTTACTCCATAAAAAGTAACTAATTACGTTACTTAGTTACTTTTTATGGAAAGTAATGTGTTACGTTACTTTTGCATTACTTTTTAAATCTGGACAGGGCTTGCTTGTTTGTTTTTAATAACCTCACATTGAAGAAAACAAAAAAATCTTTCATCATTTACTCACTCTCATGCCGTTCCAAATGTCTGTATATTACTTTCTTCCGTAGAGCACAAAAGACTGTGCTGGTTGCTTTTTTCCATGGAATTACACTGAATGGACACCAAAACAACACAAAATAGACCTTAAATGTGATCCACATGACTCATGAACCGTATTGTTTGAAGCCAAATGAGGAAATGTGAGGAAAATTCTGAAATTTACATTTATTTACTGATAATGTTCTCAAATCAGTCTGATTCATGCACAAATCCTTCAGACATTGAATGAATCACTGAACTGATCTGACTCAAAAAAACTGATTCATTCACAAAACAAACTTTGCTACATCTAGGGTGAATAATAATATTTTTTTGTAAATAATGACTGGAATTGAGGGCTGAATTCTTAACACAAAGATACTGAATGGCTTCAGAAGACGTGGAATATAGTGCACAAATCATATGAACCACTTTTGTAATACATTTATGGTGTTTTGAGAATTTTTTCAGAAAGCTTCAGGAAAAGAGGATGAAAATAGTCCACAGAGGAAAGAAAATCAAACAGGTTTGGTACAAAGTGAGTGAGATAAGGATCGTTACAACCAAGGATAATAACAATATAAATAACAATAACCAACTGTACCAATAACGATAACGACACAGAGAAATGAAATTGTTGGAATCACATTTAAAACGATCATCCAGTTTTTTCCCATCAGAATCCAACTGACTTAGAAAAGCTTGAGCATTTAAAGCGGCAGATGGCATAACTGCAATGCATGATTATAATAAACAGAAGTTATTGTCCATATATATTGATGCTATTATAGTTATTGTAGTTATCTTTACAGTTACCATTCTTGGTGTGAACAGGTCTTAAGAGATGCCAGAATTAGACTTATTCTTGTAATAATAATTTCCCACAATCCCCCCCACCAAGATTTCCTATATCATTACAAAAGACAAAAACAAATCTCAGACCTTATTTAAATGCTTTAACTGATCAACAAACCAACAGCAGGTCCCTTGATGAACCCCTTCATCATCGGCATGCCTTTAAACCATGAAGTATCAAGGGAGGTAAACAAAAATATTACAAACACCAACAATATTCCACATCCTGTTATTTTCAGGCAGCTGAATCTTAGATATCTGACACTACTTTAAAACATAAGAGCAAAAATCAGCCTCAAATCCAAAACGAAGCTTCTAATCTACAGAGAGCAACAGAACAGAAGAGCTATGTTAAGATATCGCTGCTGGCAGGTTTGTACTGCATTTGGCTTCTAACCGACTGTTTCTGACTCTACGGAGTCTTCACACATCCAAACAAACCCAAACACATTCGCTCTTCTCCTTTTCCTCAAGAGACAGAGGGAGACACTTTGTTTTTAGCACATGCTACAACAATATCCTTCCTAAATATGTTTATTTATTTGTTTATTAAAGTTGCATCTTTCAAATCCTGTACCTGCCATTTTGACGCTTTTAAATGTGATAGATGGCTGTAGAGATTTTTTCCTTAAGAAAATCCAACTATCGGTATCGGCAGATATCATTCTGAATAATATCGGCAGATAAATTCAGTATTGGCACATCTCTAGTTTTTATATCGGTGTTAAATTGTCGTTTTTTCATTAATAATAAAAAAGCCTAATTTTAATACTTTATAAACCTAACCGAAGACAAAGATACTTTTTATATACTATATAAAATACTTAACAAATATTATTTTGATAAAAGAAAAAAAAATGTTTCTTGTCCTGTATCACTTTCCATTGAAAGTATAGTATGAAGGGGTTGTTCACCCAAAAAGAAGATATTTTGAAGAAATATCTTCTTCAAAATATCAGAAAAGAGATATTTCGAAAACACTGACTTTCATTGAAAGAAAGAAAGAAAGAAAGAAAGATCTTTTTTCTATTTCAAAGAAGAGCGAAGTGTTTTATTTTTTGATCAAACGTAAAACAAAGTATCAAATGCTCAAGTTCCACACATGAACCTCAAATTGTGTAATTTGTTGAGGAGAGTTGTCCTTTAAGCAAATCAGATGGACCTGAATAATAGCTAGAGATTAGAATATTATATTTGGGTAGGCTCTTTTGAATTGAATGTGCTAAAACCACTCAGAAAACTTTAGCAACCACAAAGGAAGTGCTTCAGCATGAGTGAGTACCACTTAAATTTTCACTTGTGTTGTGTAAGAACCAAACGAACAAAGGGAACGAAATGCTGCCGTACATTGAAACTTAAATTGTTCTCATAGCTGGGACTGAATGTTTCCACAGTTTAAGGATGAAAATCTCCCCCACACGCTAAATTATCCACAAGCGTTAACTTTGATCTGGGAGTGGGCCGCGATGGAAGCCGCTAAACTCTTGGCGCTACAGTTTTGGGTGCCCTCATTTCAGGGCTGAATGTATTAAGGAACAGTGACAAGATCAAGGCAGTTTTTCATACTGGTCCCGCTGATATAGATGAAAGCGCCGAACCAGACGAATGCGTCCTGGCGAGATCCGCACAAACTTTTAACATACCAACTGCTGTGATGCTTCTGTAGAGCTTTTCAGTGAAAGCAGATAATTGAGATGACAGGGGAAGTGAAGGAGGTGGAGAAAGATGGGCTGCCCTCAAAAACTGAAAGAGGAGCTCTCAAGGAAATGATGAGGACGCATATCTTTTAGCGCAGGTCAAACTAGGTGATGTTTTCGATTCTGACTTCCTGCACAGTCCAGCGAGCAGCTCTAAATGTTGAAACTGAACACTTCGCTCTTAATATCCTCCCATCAGCACTAGTGAGGCCAAACCACCACTTGGAGCCTTTTTAACGTGAATGAAACGAGAAACTAGATTGGTGAAGGTAATGAAAATATAATGAAAGTAGAAACATAACTGGTCAAACCGTACAGTATATAAGTATGAGTATGTGTCAGAACATAAAAAGGGGAAAAACATTCTACTGGCACAATAGTATTGGTTTAAAATAAAAAAGAGAAATATTTAAAGAAAAAAACTGGTAAAGCATATCACATTAGTTCAAAACTAATACCAAAATAAACATTCTGAATGTCTTTGCTTAAAAATGTTCAAAAAATGTTTTTGTACTTGTACTAGTAATCGAAAGATTAAAATATTATTATATACTATCAATATATACTATTACTAAAAATTATTATATTGCTATAATAATTGAAAAATTATTAAGACCAGTTAAACCAATAAAAATACTGAACCAGTCAAGACCTTGCATCTCCAACATAACCATCTTGACTAGCTTGTACTAATAACACATCAGCATTAATCGTTGTAAAACGTGGAATGTAAACTGGTCTAAACTGGTTCATCATCAGCAGTGTTATTCTGTTGGACTGTATTGATTGCATAAGCTTGCTTAATCAAGCAGAATCTTATCATAAATTATTACACGGCTCTGTGGAATACTTGATTCTGATTGGTCAGTCGCGACATTCTGAGGTATGTTATCCCTCGATAACAACCGGTAAAAGCTAATAACACAGGCTCATCCGGGTAACAGCAGTCGCCGCTGTACTCTTGCTTGAACGATTTTTTCTTGGTGGAAGCTTTGCGTTTGTTTAGCTAATAAAATATTAAAACTCGATTCAAAATGGTGTACAATTATTTAATTATGTCATCCTGGTATCGCGGACTCGCTCTCGTTTCATACAAACGCAGCTGCTGCCATTTTGCTACGATTGTTTTGTACGCTGTAATGGATTATAAGAGAACTAACAAACTGGTAAGGTTTTAAAACATTTATGTCTAAATTCTTTTATTGCCTTAATTATTTTTGTGGTGAAATGTTGTGTAATAAGTGGTTTGACTGCACCGTTTCCCCATAAATGTCCGTCTAGTTTGAATTTGCAAGCGGGGATAATGTACATCCAGCCGGTTGTTATCTCAGAATAAACCCCGACAGGGGGATCAGGACCCTGGATCTTGTATCAGCCTGAAGGGGTTTATTCTGAGATAACAACCGGCTGGATGTACATTATCCCTTACTTAATCACTCACCAGCCTGGTTGGTTGTGATGTCTATGGAGACGTGTTGGGCAGGATACGGGCTCTTGTTGGTGACGCCGTTGACCGCCTGGATCTCAAAGGTGTAGAGAGTGTGTGCCAGCAGGTTACTGATGAAGACTCTGGATTCGGTCAGTCCCAGCTGCTGGGGCTGAAATTCCACGTTATCGTCGCAATGGGAGCAGGAACGACGGTCCGCCTGGCATTTCTTACAAATAATATTGTACACAACATCATCACGGCCGCCCGTCTCACGCGGAGAGTGCCACTCCAGAGTCACGGAGGTCTTGTTCACAATAGAGATGACGTTTCTTGGTCCAGAGGGAACACCTGATGAGAAAGTATGAAGACGTGTGAGAACATTCACTAAGCAAACTATGAAAATGATGCTGCTAAAGAAACGATAACAGCAGGGATAACATTTGCATTTGTCTAGGCTCTTTGAATTACATTACTGTAATTACAGTGATGTAATTACAACTCATACAATGGCTTTTTATTCAATTAAAATTTCTACACTTGAATAACAGAAAATTACTTTTTTTAGATTAATTTTGTGAGTTGAAAAACTAATGCCTTTAGAAGACATATAATTGCATGATATGCTTACCGCAGTGAAATAATTAAAGCACGAGAAAATCTATATAAGAATGGGAGCACTTTTCTTTCATGGGTAAATGAAAACCTTTTTTTGCATTTCCATTCCTCTCGAAAAGGAATAGTTCACCCCGAAATGAACTTCTATTTTAATTTAGTCACCTTCACTTCACTGCAAACCCATATGATTTTCTTTCCTCCATTGAACACAAAAGGTGAAATTCAAGAGAAGTGTACTGGTCACATTTGTTCATGCAATTACAAAGAATGGAGACTTAAAGTTCCCCTGAAGTGCCTTGAAACACGCAGCGTTATTCTAAGTGGTGACGTAATTTCAACTGAAACAGGAAGACAGGGCGGGACATATCGAGCAGCCCTGCCCCCTTTTTAAAATAGCCAATAGCGTTTTGTTTATATCTGCTCGGGCCAGAGCCGTTGAGCTCGGTAAAGCCGCATTTGACAGCCACAGTCTAATAGATTACCCCCTTATATTAGATTCAATATGAAACTCTTAGTAAAACAAAATAGTGATCATAATCATGCTGAGGCTGTGTAGTTTTAAAAGTGTTTAATATATGTTGACTCGCGCATATGAATCGCTCCGTGCGATCACATTTCTGGACCGGAACCAAAGTCCGGATCAGACTGTGCGCGTTGCCGCAGTTCGCGTCACAGCGCGAAACCAGACCTCATTTGCCGCAATCGAAAGCATATTTACACTGACTGAATCGTTCCATATCGCCTACATTGTGCACTACGTGCCATTCACTGTACAGCAAATACTACACTGTGAACAAGTGACCGATCTCAGCCGCAGCTTCAGCGTCTATTTATAGTGTAGGGGGGGGCGGGAGCTTCGGATTCTAGAGAGCATTTGATTGGTCAGAAGCTGAAGTACGAGGTGACGTAAAAAAAATTGTTGATCCGTTTTGGCGGAAGTTACGAACTGCAAGCTTTGAATGCTTATATCTTCTAAATCCAAATTTTGTCACTGTTTTGGAGCACACTGGCTTATAGATAACCTTAAGACTAACATCTTGATACTAACACCCAAAAAACTTTAATTTTGATTTCATGGGGACTTTAAGCTTTCATGCTTAAAAAAAAAAAAAAAAAGCACACCATAACATTATGAAAAAATAGCCTATACAAGTAAAATACTGTAGCTACATGTACCAAGTTTTCTGAAGTCATACGAAAGCTTTGTAGGACCATTTTTAGCTGATTATCTACCTGGATGAAGAACAGAATCAATTTGATTTGTGAGTGCATGAATCATTTGAATGGAATCAACCCATTTATGTTGATGTGACTCAAGTGATTCACAAATCATCTTTGCTTCTCTCAAACTGCCAAGATTTATGAAAAATGGCTTAAATCTGGTCTGTATGAACCACTTCGTGCTTCATGAAAGAAATAAAGTCATAAAGGTTTAGAATGACATGATGATGAGTAAATGATGATTTCTGAAGGATCATGTGACACTGGAGTAGTGGCTGATGAAAATTCAGCTTTGCATCACAGAAATAAAATATATTCCAAAGTATATTATAATAGAAAACTATTATTTTAAATTGTAATAATATATCACAATAGTACAGTTTTTTCCGTATCTTTAATTAAATAAATGCAGCCTTGATGAGCATAAATGATTTCTTTAAATCTTACTGATCCCAAACTTTTGAATGGCAGTGTATAAACCCGTCTCTCAGCTATTAATGTTTCAATTCCCTATGGTATTTAATTACAACTATTCTTAGTTTTTACAGCAGATTTCACATGTGATAAAAGTCAGCTGTTGATATGTGACAGTAAATCTTTTCCACGTGGTTAAAGTTCAAATATACATTTTCTACTCAACTCCTAAAAAGTCTTACAGAAAGGAGCTGTGTTGTGTGTTTCCTTTTAGCTGCGATCTCAGTCCCAGAGCGATGTGTAACTGTTCATAATTACCATGCAGAGTGGCGGCCCCCGAGCAGCCATACATCAGCTCACTTACTCAACACTGAGAGCGGCTTTTCATCGACAATCAGAATAAGGGATAAAAACAAGGTTTTAGTAATGGCTCTTTATCTCAGCATCCTGGATCCATTCCTACACATTCCCTTTCTCACTATAGAGCCGCAGGGAAAAAACATATTGTGTTTCTGATAAAGCAATGACTTCCCTCAGCGCACAGAACATCCGGCCAGGAACTGAGGATTTACAGATCACGGAAGGGTTGTGATGTTAACTATAGACCGCAACAGAACCAGACGAGAACCAGGAACAACTCTGGAACGAATATTCAGGTTTGATTTTAGTAACCAGCCACTTCCATGAGAACATTTGAGTGACTTCTCCTTGAAATATCAAACATGGCGAGGAGACATTCCAGCTCTTGAAGCAAGAGAAGAATGATTTCACTCAGACTACGACAACTACGACACTTGTGAAGGCAAGGCCTTGTGGGATAGATCAGGGGTTACTGGGGCCCTAAACAGGGATCGCAGGGATCGCAACTGACCTCGAACTCTGGCGACCCTGATGATTAGCCAATCAGGAGGAGGAGGCTTAAACTTGAAATAAAGGCTTCTGACAGCTCTGAATACATAGATAATGTATTAAAAAAAATTTCAAATTGTGAGGTCTTATCTGATTCTAAAAA